AACTAAGGAGTTCTCAAACTAAAAGAACCACTTCCTCTGTGAATTCAGCACTGAAGCATTCTATAGGTTTTTTTTTTAAAAAAAGAGTTGAGTATGTATCTTTGAAAACAAACATGCAATTCCCATTACCTCAACAAAAATAAGCTATTAATTTGGCATTTCAAATAGAGTTAGTCCATAGACTAGTACAGTGCTTCCCAAATTGGGCTGATCACTAGATTCAGCTGAGATTAAAAACTACACCTCCCAGAGGTATTTTGATTCAGTAGGACTAATATAGAGCCCAGAATTCTGTTGCTGTTTTATAAAGCTCCCCCAATGAGTCTGATGATTAGCCAGAATCACTAGACTAGTATGTTACAACACACCCATGCCTTCCAGATTCTACCTAGAGCAAGTTACTTTAGAGCTCTGCTCTCAGTTTTAGTTCTCAGATAAGTACTGACTGTTCATTCTTACAGCACATATGCGCTGCAAAGGCCATTCTGACGGTCCTCAAATATGCTCTGTTTTCCCCACATCCCATACTTTGCCTCCCACTTCTCATTCTCCAACTCTTACTTGTTCATAGCAGCTTAGACACTATTACCTCAGGGGAGCATCCCTGACCAGCAAACCCTGACGAGCTCAGGAATCCATTTATATGTTTTCACAAAATTCTGGGCACATGTGTTAATAATAAGAGGTACCATTTATAGAGCTCTTATTCTGTGCTGGGCACTGTTCTAACTAAGCCTTTTGTGTACTCAATCCTCCTCAAAACTCCCTGATGTGGGTACTACTATCACCCTTATTTTAGAAATGAGGAATGAGGAGACAGAGGATAAATAGCACAACCAAAGTCTCACAACAGCAGGGAAAGGAGAATTCCCAGGCACTCTAGAATCCACGTTGTTCCTGACTACTGTGCTGTATCACCTCTCCTTCAAAGAATTTCAGTCTTTATTATTATTATTTGTCTTGGCATCTCATTCCCACTTGACTATATGCTCTATGCGGGCAGGAACCCTGTCTGTCCGCTTCCTCACTGAATCTCCAGTGCCCAGCAAATGGTGGATATTCAATAAATATCTCACTCACTGGCAAGGTTCCTTTCAACAACCAAATGAAACTTAGATATGATTGAAAATTCCAATAAGATGGTTACTCTAATATCTTATATAATAATACTCAAAAATATTTTAGTATTTGGCTGTGTAAGGCATCCAGCTATGTAAAAGAATAAATAAGTACCATAGGAAATGTATGAAAACAAGCGAAGCAAGGAAAATCTGCTAAGTAGTTCACTTGCCTACTACTGCATTGTACATAGCTCAGTAGGCAAACCTGCTTGTCTCCCCTGAAATGGCTAAGGCACAATGAGAGTTTTAGAGTTTGCCCTAACTTTTTACTATACCACAACACTTCCAATATTTTTGCAAAGTGGAAGAGAAACTTTAATTCTTTTTAAATTTACTAAATAGGCTAATATTTGTAAATCATCACAAAGGATTATTTCAGGAAAATGGCAAACTTTTGATATATCAGCCTTCCAGTGAGTTCCCAAGATCATAAAAGCTGGCAGAAAACAGCTTTACTGTATCCATTTCCCAGGAGAAGTTTTTAAAGGTTGTTTTGTTTTAAGGAACATATTTTATACCTTATGGGTCCAGTAGCTGATTTTCATCAAATCCCCTGATTTATCTTAAGCTTTAGATGTGTAGCCAATTTAGTGAATACTGGCCTCTTAGAATCTATCCACCTAATCTGGATTCACTCTTTCCATCCTCCTTGTATGTAGTTTTGGTACCAGCGTCTTGCATTTTCCATTCCCGACTTCAGAGGCTAAACCTAAGCCAATCAACACATTACATCCCCTTATCCCAGGCACAGTTATTAGTTCAGGAATATTCGAATGGACCCATCAGAGCCAATGACAGCAAATGAAACTTCCTGGATGTCTGAGTAGGAATCTTTTTCTTTTTTCTACTAGACAGAAACCAGAAAGGATGTAGGGGTTGGAACTACTACCATCTTGCCATCATGTGGTACCTGATATTGAAACCAACACAATAGAAGACAGAGCACTGCATCCAGCCATGCCTATAAAACCAGATCTAATTCTGGACTTTTCACCTATGTGAGCAAATAAATCATCCTCTTCTTTAAGGCAGTTTGGATTGGAAATTTTTCACTTTCAACCAAAGAAGTCCTGGCTGACATGACCACTATTTATATTAATTTCTAACATAATACATGAAGGTGATGTATTTAAACAGCTAGTATTCTCTTCTATGAAACCAAATGGTCATTCTGTTGATAAAAGATGGTTTTTGTATTCAGTAAAACCCATTTATACTGTACAAATAGCTTAAAAAGCATTGTGATTATGCTGCTAACTTGCTATAAATAATTAATTTTCTTCTGCTATTCAGACTCATACACTGAATATTCTACATGCCATATCCAGAGTCAATCATATATATACCATGCTACACAAAGACCAGTGTAAAAGGAAGATGTGTGTGTGACTCAGCCCAAATGAAGGGCTAATTACACACAATTCTATCTAAACAAATGCAGCTGTATTAGTTCACGATTCTGTCCCTGTAGATCTGCATTTGGTCATGGGCATAAAAAGAACAATGATTAAAAACAAATGAAGGCAATTTTAGAACCTTAATAATACAGCTTAATAAGACTGCATACGACAGTAGGGTAAAAAAATTTTAAAAACCTATCAGTTGTTCAAGGAATTTTATTAATACTTTTCTAAATATGTAAAATTACATACTCATTATTAATTCTAGTTTACTGTAAATGTTGCCAATTGGAGCTCCCTCCACTGAAATCTTCACTGCTTCACTGAAAGAGAAGCATGTTTCAGTTCATTTCTGAGGTGGATCTACTCTACACCACTAATTCAATCCAGAGTTTGAAATGACTCCTTTGAAACTGTAGGATATAAGGCCAAAGGGCATCCCTCCCCTAAGAAAATAATGGTAATGTAAACCTAATTCACATCTTTACAAGAACTTTAATTCAACATGGACTAATACTCTCTGTGTTAGAGCCTTTCACCAAAGGTAAAATTACAAAATGGTAAAATTATAACCATTAAACTGAACAAACTGTGGTCATCTTGTGGATCTGATTTACTGTAAGCATGACACTCATTACCATTTATACTAAATTAAAAACATAAAAGATGATTGATTCAAGTTATATATATAGGTTAAAGGGTTAATTCAAATTAAATGTATTAATATTGCTACAATTTACTTAATACACACCCAGTTTTATGGTTAGCTGCGTTACAGAAAGATAAAAGATCAAAGAAGAAATTCAGGCCTGGAAAAGGAACCAAGACAAGGAATAATATATTACTGGTCTCATCTCAAAAGACTCGACATGTTGAAAAAGATTAAATTCAGACTATGGACAGGGAAAGCTTAGACAACTTAGACACTTAAAAAAATAATAGTAATAATTTTTTTAAATTTCTATTTATTTATTTAATAAAGAGACAGGGGCTCACTCTGTAGCCCTAGGCTGGAATGCAGTGGTGTGCTCATAGCTCACTGCTGCCTCAAACTCCTGGGCTCAAGTGATCCTCCTGCCTCAGCCTCCAAAGTAGCTGGGACTAAAGGTGTGCACTGCTACACCCAGCTAATATTTTTATTTTTTGTAGAGACAGGGTCTCTCTGTTGCCCAGGTTAGTCTTGAACTCCTGGCCTCAAGCAGTCCTCCCACCTCGGCCTCCCAAAGTGCTGGGATTATAGGGGTAAGCCACCATGCCCCCTAGAGTAATAATTTTATAAGTTGACATGGTGTACTGCTCTTCATTCTAGAAAATGCTATTCATTTTTCCCTGAGAAAAATACTACTTTTCTTAAATTAATAATGCCTCTATACATAGATGTTACTATTATTCACTATTAGTGTAAAAAAATTATATTATCTAAATGGATGTATTTGTCTATATACAATTTAACTGAAGGTTTCCATTTCTGAGTGTTTTCAACCTAATAATACTTACAGAATTCAGGGAAATTTGGTCATTTTTAATTTTTAGAATTAAAACATAATAAGAAAATAAGCTAATAGAAAAGATTTGTGACATTATATTTCCTATGGAAGCCACTAACCATGATTCAACAACTCAGGGCATTGATATAGTTTATTAGCAAGAAAGGAACAATTATTCTACCTATTGCCTATCTTTGGAATGTGAATAATTAAACGATGAGACAATACTAGAAGTATACTGCATTCTCTAGCCATTGTCTTTCTCCTTCCCTAAACAACTGTGCAAAAGACCTATTTCTTTATCTCCCCTCCAGGCTTTATACAAGGAGTCAGCAAACATTTTCTGGAAAGGGCCATACAGTCTCTGTCACAACTACTCAACTCCACCACTATGGTAAGAAAGCAGCCACAGACAATATCTAAATGAATGGATGTGACTGTGTTCCAATAAAACTTTATTTACAAAACCTGTCAGTGGGTCATTTTGATCTGAGGGCACTAGTGTGCCAACCAGTGCTCTATTCCAGGTTTCTTTCTTTCTTGGGTGCTCTGATTTACTGCAATGGCTTCCAATTATAAGCCAATGATATGATTTTTATTCACAAGGCCAGACTTCTCAACTCCAAACTCAATCTGCCCATTGGCAAGCCCACAAGTATGTCTTATAGGTTCAACAGTATTCTAAAACAAAACTCAAGATCTTTTCTTTCAAACATAATTTCTACCTCCAGTGATACTATCTGTGAATTTGTCCTTGCCAGGAAACTAGGAGTTATTTTTTAGGAGTTCAAATCATTGAAAATCAGTAATCTGGGACCCAGCTAATTCTTGCCAAGAGGCTGGTAAAGAATGAAACTGTCTCAAGAGCACAAAAGAATAGTAATATACTCCCATTTTCTCTTGGAATGTAGGGGACACAGTGCCACCTAATGGGGAAAACAAGGCCACCATTCACTACAAGTAAGGCTTTTGGTAAATATAGAATTATTTACCTGAGGCTGAAGCAAAACAACCAGGGATGTGGGGGGACCAGATTGTGCTATAAATGACACTTTCATGGCCTCTAAAGGTGCACAGAGATTTTCCAACAGTTGGATCCCACTACAAATAAATGAATAGATCAATTACTTAACAGAACTAAATTCAAATATATGCTTTTATATATACTCTATATACATCAATAAACTATATATTTATATATACATATATAATAAGGATTTTTAAGATCTATTTTTCTATAAAGCAAGATGGTATCTAAGGATCCAAAATAATCAATGCTAAGCTAATTATTCATTTATAGCCAGATCAAAAATTTTTAAATCCTAATAAGTGTTTTAATATATTTTTCAAAAAGAAAATTAACTGTTCAATTGTAAAGCTACAGAAGTATGTTTTAGAAAAGAAAAAAAAATTCAGTGGAAACTCTAGAGCAGGCGTCCTTAAACTATGGCCCTCGGGACACATGCAATGTTTTGCCCATTTGTTTTTTTACTTCAAAATAAGATATGTGTGGTGTGCATAGGAATTTGTTCATAGTTTTTTTTAAACTATAGTCCGGCCCTCCAATGGTCTGAGGGACAGTGAACTGACCCCCTGTTTAAAAAGTTTGAGGACCCCTGCTCTAGAGAAGGGAGTATTTGTCTTGTTTTTAAATATAGTAATGCTGACATACCAATTTGACAGTTTGATCCCATGAACCAGATACCACAAGCTGTTCACCTCTGGTTTGGCTCCAATCAACACTATACACCTAAAAATATTTTAAAGAGTTTAGAAAGGAAATGAGTATCAAGCTAAATATTATATTTTATCTCTTTATAACAGTCATAGCCAGTTAGAAAAACTATTTTACTGTGTGAAATACATCAAATAAAGTCCTACTCATCTCAATAAGGTATCTGAGTAATGGAGAGGTGATCTTGTGCATTCCTCCAGACTCATTCCTTACAGATAAGACTCCATTCTGCTTTAATAGATTCTACAGAATATTTCCAAACCTTCTTCACTAAAACAAATTTTACATATTTTTAAACCTACCAACAAATCACTGTTTGCAGCACCATGAAGAAATGTCAAAGCAGATTAGAAAGTTAGTCATCTAAAAAAAAAAAACCTTGCCGGGTCAATGTTTATCATAAAGCACTAAAATTCAATTAATATTCCTATCTGGCCTTTCTTTAGAAAAAGCTTACAGGAACCAGGTGATCCTTTCAGATCTCTTGGTAAACAGCTTTAGTTATCCGATGCTGGCTAATCTAATTTACGCTTCACTGCTCTCAGTGAACAATTTCAAATGAATCATTTGAAAACTTTATGGAAATATTTTTCATTCTGTCATTTTATACAACAGATTATACACAGATCACTACTGCAAGCTAAGTTCAACAAAATATGAGCATAATTATCCCTTGTGAGAGTGTCCTGACATGGACCTTGGTGAACGCCATTAAATGTCATCAGGCAGCAGGTTAGCCTCCATCTTACAACCCTAACTCCTGCTCTCTGTAGGAAGCGTGAGTGTCTGGGGTTTGCTGGAGCTTACGCACAGGTTACTTGTTCTCTGCTGACCAGGACTATGCTGAGCTATGTTGGAGCCTGTAGGGAAAAAAATCAGTAATACTGGTCTTGTCTTTATTTAAAATTTTGATGTTTTGTCACTTATATGTGTAATCTAAAAAAGTTAAACTTAGAGAAACAGAGTAGAATTATGGTTGCCAGGGGCTGGGGGAGATTTTGGTCAAAGGGTACAAACTTTCAGTTTTAATATGAATAAATTCTAGCAATCCAATATACAGCATGGTAACTATGATTAGTAATAATGTAACATATACTTGGAATTTGCTAAAAGAGTAGATATTAAATGTTCTCATCTCACACATAAAAAATTGTAACCGTATCAGGTGATGGATATGTTAATTTGATTGTGGGAATCATTACTCAAGGTAAACTTGTACCAAAACACTACAGTTCTGTAGGCTTAAAAGAAACCACTATGTTCTATAGTACATATAATTTTTTTGTCAATCAGACCTATTTATTTTTAATGTTATATTAAGATTCCAAAAAAAGAAGAAACCAAAATAAAATAAATATTAATATTTTGTTCATCATGGACTTTTTTGCATTAATTTTTGTTTTAAAAAATAATGCATTAACAGATTATTTATCTTGAATACCAAGTTTTTTTTGGGGGGGTTCCTTAAGTTGTGTACCCAAGGTAAGCGCCTCACACACGCACACCCAGTCCTGGCCCTGGGACTGCCATATTCATACAAAGAGAGAAGAGCAGTTGGAAAACTAAAGGAACCACAATCCAGCAACAGAGAGCAGCAAAGAAGTAAAGAGGAAGGGGCAGCAAATACCAAAGAGCTGCTGCGGCCGTCTGTTAGTTATGGATGGAAAAAGATAGGTTTGGAAGTAGTCACTGAAGATCTTGAAAGCTAAAGAGTCTGACTTTATCCTCTAAATTTTTCCTGCAAAGGATCATACTAAATGATAAATTTCTTCAATAAAGGTTCTTCTATAAGGGGCTATTATAGGTCATTTAGTCACTGTCACAGCTACTAAACTAAGCCCTTGTAGCACACAAAAGGAGTCATAGTCAACAGTTAATAAATGGGCATGATTGTGTTCCAATAAAACTTTACTTACAAATCAAATAGCAGGCCATATATATATGTATATAAAATAAAATGTATATATATATATATAAAATAAGGATTTTTAAGATCTATTTTTCTATAAAGCAAGATGGTATCTAAGGAGCCAAAATAATCAATGCTAAGCTAATTATTAATTTATAGCCAGATCAGAAACCTCTCTGGGCCTTGGCATAGTATTTACTTCAAAGAAATTGAGATAAAATACATTAAGTGGTTATGACCATATCTAGCACACAGAGAATTCAATAAAGGTTTGCTATTGTTATATTTGACTCTTTAGGACAACCTAGAGCAGGGGTTGGCAAATTATAACTTGTGGGCTAGGACCAAATCTGGCCTGCTCTGATGTCCAGAAAAGAAAGATCCAAGCAGGACCTTGAGGGCTGGCTAAAATGTCAACAGGCAGAAAGCAGAGGTGAAACAGTAACCAAGAACTCCCCTAACGACATAAACGGGGCCATACAGCAAGCACCCTAGGGATCAGGGCTACTGACCACTACAAGATAACGCAAAGTTTTGTGCCTGAGGATTGTCAGTGATGGTGGCGTTTAAAAAAGTGGAAGACTGGAGGAAGGGAGATAATGTATAATTTTACATATACTAAGTTTAAGGTGACAGTAAGACAGCCAAGATCAAATGTCTAGTATGAACAGGGTCTGGGCATCAACCTAAAGCTCTGAAAAAAGGACACAGCCAGAGAGATGTTTTGGAGACAGCTGAAAAGAGAAGACTAGATTTCATTATGTCAACCTCAACTCAATTCACCTGGCTACTCAACAAATAGTAAGCATTCACTATAAAAAAGGCATTGGGGAGCAGGAGGTTACAATGTTAGACAAGACGAGCCCCCATGGATCTTATATTTTAGCAGAGGAAGACAAGCTATAAATAAATGTGTAATTCCAGGTTGTGATTAAAAAGAAATACAAAGAAAAATAAAGCAGAGAAAGGAGACTAGAAAACAATGACAAGGGAAGGTCACTTTTCAATAGAATGGTCGGGGAAGACCTTTCTGAGCAGAGACTTGAGTGCAGTAAGAGTGAACTCTGCAGGTCTGAGAGGATAGGTACACGTCAGAGAGAACAGGGAAAGACCCTGAAACAGTAACCAAGCTGGCCATGTCTGAGGAACAGCAAAGTCAAGAGTTAGGAGGGATAAGACCCTAAAAGGCCATGGCAAAGAGTCTGTGTATAATTTCCCTTAAGAGGTTACAACCATCAACCATAAGCTGCCACTTAGATTATAACATCCTTCTAACTGCTCTCCCCCTCCACTCTTATTCACTTCCAATCCATTATCCACACTGCATAAAAAATAATCTGTATAAAATACACATTAAATGTCACTCCTCTGCACAAAGCCTTTCAACGGTTTCATACCATGTGGCTCCTGCAACTTAACTATCTTCACTCAACACTATGTGAGATTCCTCCATGTTGATTCTTATTACCCAACAGTCAAAACTGTGCAAAACTATGCATGATTTAGGGATGCATACATATGCCGCATAAATAGAAATACAATTTAAAAATATATGAATAGAAAATTCAGAATAGTGGTTACTCCTGAGAAGAAGGGGGGAAGGAAAAAAGGAGGGAAAGGAAGGCTAGGAATGGAAAGGAGTAACCACAGGACTTCCAATGGTACCAGGTAATGTTTCATTTCTTAAGCTAGATGGTAAACATGTAAGTGTTCAATACATCATTTTTGTATCTTTGTATATTTTATATGTATGAAATATTTCACAGATTTTTTTAAAAATCTGCAATGTCTTTCCACTGATCTTAGCACAATGGCCAAACATTGACTGCTCTAGGCCCACAGGCTCTATCCTTACCCTTCAAGTGTGTTCTTCCCTATACCTCTGACATTACTACTCTGGCCTCTCCATCTGAATAGTTCATTCTGACTCTCCCTGTAGACTCAAGGATGGCCTCCTTGCCCCTTCCCCAGGCAAGACTCTCCCCTCTTGGAGCATTTTATACATTCACAACACTTATCACATTATAAACTGGATCACCAGCATCCTAAATCTCTCTCCTGAGAGAGTGCAAGGACATCAGAAGGGCAAGAACATGCCTGATATGTTCATTTTTCCAGCTAGGTCTAGTATAGTACTATTGCACACAGTAGAGTTAATAAAAGTTTTTGGAATGCATGAAGGGACAGAAAAACGAATCTGAATGGAAAGCACATCTCATATTAGTGTACCCTTCCTTCCCTTCCCTATTCCCAATTTCCTCCTCCACTCCCACTCAAACAGTGGACACGACAAATAGTCAAGTTAAATAAAAAAAGGAAGAGAGATATGCAGTACCTGCCTTTATGCTTTAAAAGCAGGGTCCTCTAAAGACCTATCTTATAAAATTACTCCTGGCAGTGGTGAAGAAAATTAATTGGGGAAATGGAAAAAGAAAAAAAAAAACCCCACTGAACAATGTTTTGTGCTGCTTTATGAAATCTGAACCTTATCAAAACCACAGTTTGAGAGGACAGATTTTATTACCGGAACCAATTCCCAAAGAGCTCATTTTTAATCTACTGTAAAGTATTGCCCTTTTTAAGTTGGTCTATTTAATTAAAAATTGTCAAATAAAAACTATGTCCAGAATTCTACTTATATCAATACAAAGGAAAGGGACAGTGACTTTTAATTACAGAGCGATTAGAAAGGGCTACATATTTCTTTTTAAGGTGAAACTTAAAATTTTCAAAATTTTTTTCATTATGGAAATTTTGAAACATGCATAAAAGTAGAAAGAATAGTGTAATAAATCCCCAGGCACCCATTACACACCTTTTATAATTATCAGCATTTTGCCCTTCTTATTTAATCTGTCCCATTATTGACTGAATGACTGACTGCTGGAGTATTTTAACGTCAGACCATTGCACTCATAAATACTTCAGCAGATAAGAAAGGTTAGTCTTTTTCATAGAAGCACAAGGCCATTTTTACCCCTAACAAGATAAACAACAGCTACTTAATAACATCTAATATTCAGTCCATACTCATATTTCCCTGATTGTCACAAAAATGTCTTTTTACAGTTGGTTTATTTGAACTGGTATTCAAGCAAGACCCACA